GAGGAAATTGAGGTAAATAGGGTTAAGTGACTTGCACTGGGTCACCTATCTGGTAAGTGTCTGAGGCCAGCTTTGATCACAGGAAGATGAGTCTTCCTGACTCTAGGCCTGGCACTCCATCCACTATATCACCTAGCTGCCCAGAGTCAGAGGACCTGGGTTCAAATCCCACCTCTGACGTTTACTACCTGTGTGACCTTGGGCAAGACACTTATGTTTATTGAGTTTCTATCTCCTAATCAGTAGAATGAAGGGATCAGACCAAACACTTCTCCAGTGCTTTCTAGCTCTATAAATCCTGTGATACGTAACAAGATCATCTACTTCTGTCCCTTTCTACTTCCGTGGCCACTACCCTTGTACAGGCTCTTCTCATAGTTTCTCAGTGGTTTATCACAAAAAGTCTCTTAATTAGATTCCCAGCTTCCCACCTCTTCCCTTTCCAATCTAATTAGATCTAATCCAATTCAGAGAGCTGCCAATAATCTTCCCAAAGCACATCTGACCATATCATTCCTCTGCTATAGAACCATCAGTGGTTCCCTACTGCCCCTAGAATAGAATTCAAACTCCTGAGTGTGACATTTAAAGATTTTCACAATCTGGGGCCAATCTGCTTCTCCAGGCCTATTACATACTACCCCTCTTAATGTTTCAGCCAAACTGGCCTGCTGGCTTTTCCCCAAAGTGGGCACTGTAGCTGCAGGCCCTGTGCCTTTCAATAGACTGTTCCCCACACCTGGAATGCATTCTCTTTTGGCTGCTGCCTCAAAGCATCCCCAGCTTCCTTTATGGCTCAGGGCCACCTCCTCCAGGAAGCCTTTCCAGATCAATCAAAAAGACCCCCTTGGTCCTTTGAGTTCTCTCCCTCCTCCTCTAATTACTCTATACTTGTCTTTTATACGTGTATTCTTCTAACTTCCTAGTAGAATGTAACCTCCTTGAAGACAAAGACAACTGTGTTGCTTTTTTGTTTGTTTATTTTTGTTTTTGAACTTTGTCTTTGCAGTTCCAGAGCCTAGCACATTGCCTGGGACATTCATTAATAAAATACCTGCCTGTGGGAGCTCTGCTGGAGTTCTGAGTTGAGAAAATGTATCTCCCTCCTTTCTTTGCAAAGGTGGGGGACTATGGGTACAAAACAGCACATATAGGGTGTACCAAAAGTCCTGATCATTTACCCCTCACTGCCTGTGACATCAGAATTCCTAATATAATTTTAGGTTGCATCAAGAGAAACATAGTGCCTGGATGGATAAGGTTAGTTGCACTGTGCACTGCCCCAATCTGATCGCATCTGGAACATTACGTTCAGTTCTTTGCACCATATTTTAGGAAGGATATTGATAAGTCTTATAAACTCATCAGTAACTCAGGGAAGTACTAGGTAGATACTGCGGATCCCTGGAAGTTTTGAGTAGCTTAAGATCACTCAGCTGATAAGTCTCAGGGTCAGGATTTGAATCCAGGACTTCTTGACCCTAAGTCCAGCCATCTGTCCATTAGGCCATGCCACTTCTGGTGTTAGAGTCCAGGGTGGTGTCCAGAGGAGGCTGATCAGGATGATGAGAGACTATGCCACATTAGGACAGGTTGAAAGAGCTTGGTTTATTTAACCTGGAATAGAGAAGAGTGTGTGGTGGTCAGGAAGTCCCACATCTGCCACTTTATTCTCCTTATGCCCTTGGGCAAGTCATTGCCTATAAAACCAAGGGATTGGAATACATGACTCTAAGGTTCCTTCTAGCTCTAAATTCTAGGCTCTTATGCTCCCTGAGTCAGGGATGTGGGAGGGAAGAAAGAGGAAGAGGAAAAAAGGAAAGGGAGGGCAGATAGGTGGCACAGTGGATAGAGCACTGGGCCTGGATTCAGGAGGACCTGAGTTCAAATCCGGCCTCAGACACATAACAATCACTAGCTGTATGACCCTGGGCAAATCACTTAACCCCAGTTGCCTCTCCAAAAAAAAAAAAAAAAAAGGAAAGGGGAAGACAGATGAGGAGGAAGAGGACATAAAGGAACAAGAGAAGGAAGGGCAGCTATTCCTGTGGGTTCCCTGGTGCTCAAGTTTGGGTTCTGAGGTTAATGAAAAGGGAGAAGATGAACCCAGCGTGGAAGGACTGTCTCTGTCATCCATCACTTGGAACTCTTTCATTTGAATTCACCAGCACTAGAGCAGTTGGGTCCCAGGTTCTCTAACCCCCAAGGAAAGTGATTTCTTTCCCTCACTACCTCAAGGACAAAGGACTCCATAGTCTTTTCTGCTTCTGAATTATATCCCCTCTGCCTCAGCTCCCCTCTCTCCACTCTGCCACTCACATCTCCTCCCATAGAACCAGTCCACTACCTCCAGGAAACCCCATTTGTTGACCATCAGATCCCTCAGCTTAGCTCTACAGAGATTCCTTCCATGTTTTCAGTATCCCCAATGCACCAAACCAGTGTGACCTTATTCAACTTGCATTCTCTGGGGAAGCCCATTGTTTGGGGCCTTAATGGAAGTAGTCTGTGAGCCTTGTCTGGCATTGATTTCTCCATCTTCTCCTCTGGGGGTTTCTGGAGTTCCCATCTCCCACTCTGGGGTGGGCCTACTCTGGCATGCCCAACCTGACTAGAATCTCTAGAATCCCTCTGGGGATCTCTAGAAGGCACAGGGGGAGGATAGCTTCCATGGAAGGCCTCTGCCCAGATTACACTTGTTTAGTAGTCTTCACATTTCAAAGAGAGGTAATTTCATCAGTGTGGTGGCCCCCCTCCATGAATACAGAATGTCTCCTTTCCTATTGACTTTAGGATATGGTCTTATAGACTGTTTATGGTGGGAAAATTCATCTTTCTGTGGGCTACCTGGAGGAGAAAGTGCCTTTGCATGGACCCCCCTCACTCAAATCCAATTCACTTGCAAGTCATGGCATCAACTCCCTGATGTCATGGTCCTCTTTGAGAAGAAAGGACAAACCACAGTGAGCCTTTTCAAACTTCTGCAGGCTAGTCCTCAGAGCAAAGCCACATTGTCACATGCAGGTAAGGAAAGCCCATCAAACCTGGTAGGGCCTGCCAGAGCTTGGGCCCTGATGGCATGGCTTTTGAGAACCCAGAATTAATTTCATGCCATGAAGAAGCATCAGCTAGGATGTCAGGGGGAGGGAGTATGGCACAGTGCTAAGAACACCAAGAACACTTCTGCCATCAGAAGACCTGGGTTCAAATCTTACCTCTGATGCTTAAAACCTGTGAGACTTTGGGCAAGTCACTGTGACTCAGTTTATGAGGAGGTGGGCCTAGATGTCCTCTGAGGTCCCTTCCTATCTCTAAGTCTATCTCTGTTGTTTTAAATGTTCTCTGTGTGTGTTCCGGCTCTGTGTCTCCCTTTGTACCAGAGGCTTCATATAGACAGGGCTACCTTTCCCCATTAGACTGTGTGGTCCTTGACGGCAGAGGCTCTGACAGTCTCCTTTCTCTTTCTGCCTCATAGAACCCAGTTAGGGTTGGGTTGCAGCTAAGAACAGGGATCAGAAGGAGGAAAAAATTCTTAGAAAAAACCTAAAGCTCAGTCTCATCTTAAGGGAAATTTACGCAAGTAGAAAGGTGAATGGGGAAGGGTGACTGCCTGCCTGAGGGCAGACACTGAGCTGAGGAGGTAAGAAATGCCTTGTCTCCAGCCACCTTCCTTTCTCTGCCCCTTCTTTTCCCTTCCCCTGCCACCTACCTCCCAAGAGGGCGAGCTTGGCTAGCCAGTAGCTTCTACAATCTCAGACCCAAACTTAAATGCTGTATGAGCCCTTAGAGGGTCTCCCTGTCCAATCTCCCCACTTTACAGATGGGAAAACTGAGGCTCTAAAGCATTCAATCATCATCACAACCCCATCTGGATGTTCAGATGCACTTATTCATAGGGTCATAGAATCTGAGCTGGAAGGGACCTCAGAGTATGGCTAGTGAGATCACCGGATTTGGAATCAGAATTTGGGAGTTGGGTCCCCACTGCTGTCACTGTTTGTGTGACCATGGGCAAGTGACATGATCTTTTTGGTCCTCAGTTTCTTCATCGGTAAAATGATGGGGTTGAACTAGATGACGATCCAGTTCCAAAGGGTGGCTCAGTGGAGAGAGTGCTGGGCCTGGAGTCAGGAAGACCTGAGTTCAAATTCAGCCTCGGACACTTAGTAGCTGTGTGACTCCAGGCAAGTCACTTAACTTGTTTGCCTCAGTTTCCTTATCTGTCAAATGAACTGGAGAAGGAAATGACAAACCACTTTAGTATCTTCACCAAAAAAAACCCCAAATGAGGTCACGAAGAGTTGGACACAACTGGAAAACAACTGAACAAAAATCTATCTCTAAATCTATTATTCTTTCATGCAACCCATAACTGTACAGGAATATTCTCTACAATATCCCTGAGAAGTAGTTATCTAGCTTCTACTTAAACACCTCCTTGATGTTCAGTTATTTCAGTCATGTCTGACTCTTTGTGACCCCCATTTGGGGTTTTCTTGGCAAAGATACTGGACTGGTTTGCCATCCCCTTCTCCAGCTCATTTTACAGATGAGAAAAGTGAGGCAAATGTGGCTAAGTGACTTGCCCAGGGTCACACAGCAAGTGTGTGTCTGAGGCTGGATTTGAACTCAAGAAGATGAGTCTTCCTGACTCTAGGCCCAAAGCTCTCTTCACTTCACTTGAAATGCCTCCAGTGACTAGCAATTCACTTCTTTCCCAGTTCCCAATAATTGATCCTGTGGATATTCCTTGACTCAGGGTCTCAGTTTCTCCAGAGACCTAAGGGATTGTCCCCTGCCAGGGAGCCTCCTTAGACATCATTCATTCATTCAGTCAGTCAGTCAGTCATCAGTCCTGGCATTCCCCATCGCAAGCCTGGGCTTCAGCATCCCTATCATTCAGCAGGCTACTTTAAAGAAATATTATTAAATAAATTCAAGGTCCAAAATTCTTTGAGCTTTCCCCCAACATTTCAAACACCTTGTTCATTATATTCTAACTTATAAATGTACATTCCTTTTTATTGAGATGAGTCATAAATAAACATGACTGATAACCATTTTCTCAGGCGGTTTTGGGGTCAGAACTCAGGTAAAGAACTGGTCGAGGAGGCAGAGCTCCTAGTCAAGGCCAGGAACAAGGAGACCTGCTTTTTAATCTTAGCTCTGTTCCCAACTCTCTAATGAGACTTTGAGCAGGTTCCTTTCCCTTTCTGGCAGAAGCCTCCCTATCTGTCCACTGGGGAGTTTGAGTTAGATGGTGTCTAAGGGCCTTCCCAGTTCTGACCATCTATCATTCTAGGCAGGGCTACCACAGCTGATTCATCTCTTTACTGTGGAGGTGATGGAAGGGACAACCTATACTCAAATCCTGGATAATCTGAAAGTACGGCCCACCACCACCCATAAACCACCCAGCAGGGAAGTATGGTGGTGCAAGGAGCCTTCCTAAGAAGCAGTTGGAGGATGAAAGGGAGGAGGAGGAAAAGCAAGGCCTGGAGAGCCCCCAGAGGGGATCGATCACCCCCTCAGATCATAGCTGAGCACAGGCTGGCCCCAGGGTGAGGGTCACAGAGTGGGGAGGAGGCGGGGGTCGGGGATGGCAGGGGATAAGCATTCAGCCTCTGTCTTGAGGTCGCGGTGGCAGCCCCTGCTGCAGGCCTCGGATGAGCTCCTTCCGGTTGTCCAGGATCGTGTCAAAGCTCTCCTGCAGCCGGGCCTGCTGGCCAGCCAGACGGCATTGGAGACCTCGGATCCACTGCAGCAAAGCCAGGCGACGGTACATGACCAAGTGGACGTGGTGTTTTTCCTTCTCTTGCTCCTTGTAGCGCTCCTGAGCCAGCAGCTGCTGCATTGCCTGGGTCACGGTGGGGAGGAAGGTATCGCGGGCTGGGCCAGACTCTGGGGGGCCGGGGCAGGGGCTGGGGGTGTCCCAGGAGGGACCGGGGCTGCTCTCCGGACTTTCTACACTCAGGGAGCTGCTGGCATAGCCGACATCTTCTAAGGGGGAGCCAGCAGCAGCTGCAGCCCCCGCCCCATCGCCCTTCTCTGGCTCGGGCCCTGTAGCTGTGGGAAGTTCAGCCCCCTCTGGTGGGCTGCGCATCTCCCCTACTGAAGGGAGGAAGAAGCCATCAGACTGGGGGCCTGGGAGCCCATGGGCAGAGGGCTGCCTCTTGACCAGAACAGCCTGGTTGTCAGAGCGGACGGAAGGCAGGTTCTGCGTGAGGGTCAGCTCCCCCCCCACCCCTGGCTCCACCAAGTCCTCGGCTCCAGTTTTCATTGGCATCATAGGTGCTAGCCACAAAGTTGGAGTTACTGTCTGGTTCATAGTCATGTTGAGACACAGAGGCAGGCAGGCCCCCCGGGAACGAGGGTTCAGGAGGCCCAGGCTGCACTGCAAACATCCTGACTGCTGGAGAGGAAAAGGAAAGAGAAAACATTTTATCTTTTGTATTTATAGTGCTGAACATTATTAATTTTTATTAATTAATATATAAGTATATAACATAATAAATAATTATTAATAGTAGATGTTTACTTAGTGTTTGTTGAATTTAATGGGTCCTAACAAGAGTGAGATAGGCTGACGGAGGGGGGGGGAAGGGAGGGGACGGGGGGACGGACGGGACTAAGTAAGGATGCTATAAAGTGAAGAGGAGAAGACATGAAGTTTCCCAATGTGATCTCCCATCTCAGTGCCTTTGCACAAGCAGTCTCCCATGCCTCCCATGCAATCTCTCTTCACCACTTCTCAAAGCTCAGCTGAAACACCACCTGCTACATAAACCTATCCTGTTCCCTGTGGCTACTAATGCCCCTCCCACCTCTACCTCTTTCATTAGACAACGAGCTCTTTGAGAGCAGACATGACCTTTTACCTTTCTTTGAATCCCTAGGCTTAGCAGAGTGCCTGGTACACTGCAGGTGTTTAATAAATGCTTATTGACTTAAATTGCCTTGTGTATAAATTAGTCAACAAGCATTTATTAAATGCCTTTTATGGGCCTGGCACTGTGCTAAGTGATGGGGAATCAAATACAAATAAAACCAAAGACAGCACCTGCCCTCAAAGAGCTTAGAAATCTAATGGGAGAAGTCAACACAAAAAAGAAAGCTGGAAAAGAGTGAGGTGTCCCTAGGGATCTCAGTATGCCCTTCACAAGGGAAAGGAGCCATAAAACGTCAGAGAATAACAAAAACCAAAAACCCTACAGACTTAGGGGTAGAGGGAACGGGAGAGATCACCTTACCCACCATCAAGCCAAACTCCTAGATGAAAAGCTCTTTAGCATTGTTGCCTCCTCTTCCTCTCACAACCCCTTGCAATCTAGCTTTTGACCTCATAATACAACTGGAACTGCCTTCTCCAAGGTTAGGAATGATCTCTTAGTTGCTAAGCCCAATGGCCTCTTCGCAGTCCTCATCCTTCTTGACCTCTCTCCAGCATTTGATATCAACCACCCTTCTTCCCCAGGATACTCTCTCCTGCCTGGATTATTATTATTATTGTTATTATTAGAGGTAATTGGGGTTAAGTGACTTGCCCATGGTCACACAGCTAGTGTCTGAGGCCGGATTTGAACTCAGGTCTTCCTGACTCCAGGGCTGGTGCTCTATCCACTGGGTCACCTAGCTGCCCCTCCCATCTAGATTATTGTGATACTGCTCTTCTCTTCTGGCACCCCTTCTGTCTGGCTGCTCCTCCTCAGACTCCTCTGCTGGATCATCATGTGTCTAGTCTCCATTCTCACCATTTGTAGGGGTGCCCAAGGATTTTGTTCTGAGTCCTTTTCTCTCTCTTTAATTTCTCAAAGTGATGCCAACTTCCATAGACTCATCATCTCTATGTAAATGACTTTCAGATTGAAATCTCCAGTCCTGGTCTCTCTCCTGAGCTCTAATCCCATATTACTAATTGCCCATTGGACATTTCCAAATGGATGTGCTGCAAGCATCTCATTTCAAAAGTAAACAGCTAGCTAAAAAGGTGGTGACTGAGAACTGAATTTGGATCCCTGGATACAGAGGCAATTCACCAACCAACTTAGACTTTAAACAGAAAAGTATGGAAGATGAAAGCAAGACCAGGTAGCAGAAGATGAATATAACAGCACAGCATGGTCCTGTAAAAATAGCATCATAAATGCTGAAGCTCAAAATGAGCTAAGGCTGGTAACGGGAGCTAAGTACACACACACACAAAAGCTTTCTTTCTCCCTTTCTTCCTTGCTTTCTTCCCTCCTTTTTTTTTTTTAAAAAAAAACTATATTCAGAGACAAAGGAAGATCAAAGAAGGGATAGGACCTTTTCTTGAGGTAGATGGGATGATAATAATGGACAACAGAGATAAGACAGGGCTAATCCCTTCCCATTTTACTTCCATTTCTCTGTCAAGGAGAATGACTTTTCCAGTGGAAAGGACAGAACAGACAGGGTGAGGAGGGAGCTGATAGCCAAGAGAAGTAAAGAGGTGATAAATTATTCTTGATGGATTCAAGAAACCTGGACCAGATTAACTACAGCCTCTGGTCCCGAAAGAACCAATAGATGTGATTCCTGAGCTACTGTAGGTAATACCTGAAAGACTGTAGGAAAGGAGGATGGTACCTCAAGACTAGCGAAGGGCAAATGTTCAATTTTCCCATAGAAGTCAGTGACCTTAACTTCAGTTCTGGAGATCATTAAGTGGGACTATTTTAGGAGGTGGTGAAGGAACAGAAAGAAAAAGAATGAATACTTGCAAAGAGATAGCCAGAGTGCTTTCATCAAGAATTGGTCCTACTAGTGCCATCTTATTTCCTTTTTTGATAGAGCAACTAAGCTGTTAGATAAGGCAACATGCTAAACTTAGAGTTAACCCAGATTCTAGCAAAACATTTTATAAGGTATAATAGTTAGAATGATAATAGCATTTATATAGAATTTTAATATTTGCAAAGTGCTTTAGGCATATTATTTCATTTGATCCTCACAAAAATCCTGGGAGGTAGGTGCTATTATTATCCCCATTTTACAGATGAGGAAACTGAGGCAAACAGGATTAAGTGACTTGGCCAGGGTCAGACAGCTAGTTAAGTACTGGAGACTAGATCTGAACTTGTGTCTTCCTGACTCCACGCCCTGTACTCAACCCATTAACACACCTAGATGCCTCAAACTGTGTCTCTCCCTGTGCTATGTATTATAGAGTCATACATTAGAGCTGGAGAGGACCTTATTGGCCACTAAGTCCACTTCTCTCATTTTAAAGAAAAGTAGAATGAGGGTCATAGAGGTTATCTGACTTGCTCAGGGTCACACAGCTAGTAAGCCTCTAAGGTGAGAATCAAAGCCAAGTCTTCCTTGGTGCAAGTCTGGCACTTTATATAGGAAGATATACTGCCTCAATTATCAATGATTTGTATAAAACTACCAATGGCATGCATACTCATAGAATTTACAGATGGCACAAAGCTGGGAGGAATAGCTCACACCATGGATGACAGTGATGCTATGATAATAATAATAATCCAGCTAGGTGGTGCAGTGGATAGAATGCCAGGCCTGGAGTCAAGAAGACTCCTCTTCCTGAATTCAAATCTGGCCTCAGACGCTTACTAGCTGTATAACCCCGGGCAGATCATTTAACCTCATTTGCCTCAGTTTCCTCATCTGTAAAGTGAGCTGGAAAAGGAAATGGTAAGCCACTCCAGTATCTTTACCAAGAAAATCCCAAATGGGGTCACAAAGAGTCAGACATGACTGAAAAATGACTGAACAACAACAACAAATAATAATAATAATAACAACTAGAATTTATATAGTGCTTTATGGTTTACAAAGTACTTTACATATATTATCTCTGTTGATTTCCCCCAACAACCCTGAGGTAGTTACTATTATTATCTCTGTTTTACAAATGGGGAAACTAGAAGAGGTTAAGTGACTTGCCCAAGGTTACACAGCTAAGTGTCTGAGTAAGCACTCTATTCACCAACAGGAAAGAACAGTGGGCTGGATCTAACAATGTGAAATTCCAAAGGGATAAAGAAAGTCTTACACTTGGGTTAAAAAGTCAGCTTTACAAGTACAAGATAGGGGAGGCATGGTTAGACAACAGTCTGAACAAAGACAGTGCAATGTTAATGGATGACAAACTCAATACTCAAACTCAACAAGAATTAGCAATGTGATGCAGCATCTAAGAAAACTAATATCAACCTTGGGGTGCATTATTAAAAGAGGCATAGCTTCTATGAGGTGTACCCTGCCCTAGCCAGACCACTCCTAGAGTATTGTGTTCCGTTCTAGGTGCCGATATTGAAAATAAAGGGACATTTCTAAGCTAAAGAACATCCAGATGAGAGCACCAAACATGACGAAGGGTCTTGAGTCCGAGTCCAAAGAGTTTAGGTTAAGGAAGTTGGGATGTTTAGTTCGGAGAAGACTCAGTGGGGACATGATAGCTGCTGCAAGTATTTGAAGATCAGGTGAAAGAAAGGTTGGATTTCCTCTGTTTGGCCCCAGAGGTTGCAACTAGAACCAATGGGTAGAAGTGGCAAAGAATCCATGTTAATTTTGGTATCAGGAAAAACTTCCTAATAATAATGGAGCTGGTGGTGGCAAAGAACTGGAAATTGAGGTGATGCCCATCAGTTGGGAGTGGCTAAACAAGCTGTGGCATATGATTGTAATGGAATGTTATTGTGATATAAGAAATGACAAGCTGGATGATTTCAGAAAAACCTGGAAAGACTTACATGAACTGATGCATAGTGAAGTGAATAGAAGCAGGAGAACATTGTACACAGTAACAGCAATATTGTTTGATGGAGAACTGTGAATGACTTAGCTATTCTCAGCAATACAATAATCCAAGACAAAGGACTAATGATGAAACATGTTATCTGCCTCCAGAGAAAGAACTGATATTGTTTGAATACAGACTAAGCCATGCTGTTTTTCACTTTCTTCTTTTTTCTTTTATTCAAGTCTTCTTGTACAAAATGACTAATATGGAAATGTTTTACATAATTGCATATGTATAACTTATATCTACTTACCGTCTCAGGGAGGGGGAAGGGGAGAGAGGAAGGGATAGAATTTGGAACTAAAAATGTTAAAAAAAAAAAGTTTAAAATTATTTTAACATGTAATTGGGGGAAATATATATATGTATTTTAAAAAGAAATGATGAGTTGGTTGATTTTAGAAAAACATGGAAAGACTTATATGAAATAATGAAGTGAGCAGAACCAAGAGAAGGTTGTATACAATAACAACAATATTGTTTGAAGAATAACTGTGAACAACCAACTTACTCTGAGTACTATAAATACTCAGATTAACCATTAAAGGATCTATGAAGGAAGATGCTATCCACCTCCAGAGAAAGAACTGATAAACAGAGGTAATCATAGTACAGAAATCTGTGTCAAACGGTGGCATTCTCTAGTGCAGGGTGGGGAGGGAGGGAGGGAGACAATTTAGAACTTAATTTTTTTTTTTTTGCTTTTTGGTGAGGCAATAGGGGTTAAATGACTTGCTCAGGGTCACACACTAGTAAGCGTCAAGTGTCTGAGGCTGGATTTTAACTCAGGTCCTCATGACTCTGAGGCCTGAGCTCTATCCACTTCAGCACCTAGCTGCCCCTAATTTGGAACTTCAAATGTAACGAGAGAGAGAGAGAGAGAGAGAGAGAGAGAGAGAGAGAGACAGAGACAGAGACAGAGACAGAGAGACAGAGAAGAAGGAGGAGGAGGAGGAGGAGAGGGAGGGAGGGAGGGAGAGAGGAAGGAAGGAAGGAAGGAAGGAAGGAAGGAAGGAAGGAAAGAAAGAAAGAAAGAAAGAAAGAAAGAAAGAAAGAAAGAAAGAAAGAAAGAAAGAAAGAAAGAAAGAAAGAAAGAAAGAAAGAAAGAAAAGATGGAGCTGTCCAGAAGCGGAAATGGTTGCCTGCCTGAAGGAGTGGTAGGTTTTCTCTCCCTAAAGGTCTTCAAGCACTTCCCAGAGGACCATTTGGGGGGTGGGGTGGCCTTTTGTATATGGGTTAGACTATCTGGCCACAGGTGTTCCCTTCCAACCCTGAGATTTTGTGATCCTATGATTCTATGTCCACAGCTGCCAAAATGATATTCCTATAGTACAGGACTGCCCAAGTCACTCCACTGCTCAAGAAGCTGCAGTATGTCCCATCTTCCTGTAAGATAAAATACAAACTCCTCTGTTAGGCATTCCAAGTTCTTCACAGTATGGCTCCAAACTATCTTTCCAGACCTATTGCACATTCTTCTTCCTTACCCTAGGTTCCAGCCAAAGTAGAGAATACTTGCTTTTCCCCAAACACATTTCCTCTTCTGCCCCCATATCTTTGCACAGTCTGCCTCTCAGGCCTGGAACATTCTTCCTCACTGCAGCTTCTTTAAATTCCCAGCTCCCTTCAAGGCTCAATTCAAGAGCTACCCTGTTTAGAAGGCATTTCTGTATTCCCCCAGTTCCTATTCCTCTGCCAACACTGTGTACTTTAAAAAAATTTTTCTATATTTACTTCTTGGTATACATATTTTGTATTCTGTATATTGTTTTCTTATCAGTACACACACACATACACACAAAATCTTTATTTATTGGTGTGTGGTTTTGGCAGATATCCTATTTCTACTTATTGGTGTGCATGTGTCCTTTTTCTCTGCTCCCACCTCCTACCCTCAAAGCCTTTGAGGGCAGAACTTATCTCATTTTTGTATTTGTATTTCCAAGGCTTAGCACAGTGCCTAGCACATAATATGTGCTTAATAAATACTTGTTAGTTGATTGATTGATTGATTACTAGATAGATTGGGACACTGAGGCATTGAGTAGAAAGGCCTTGAATAGCTGAGTGCCTCCTCCTGGCTTCCACACTAGGAGGTGCTTTAGATCTCTGCCTTCTGTTGCTATGGTGCCCATTATACCTAGCTCTGTCTATCCTCTCTCTCCTCTTACTCTCTGCCTGATCAGTCATTACCCTCCCTGTGAATAGCTTCCATGGGCAGGGAATAGAACAAATGCATTTGTCCAAGTTTAGGTTTGAAAGAGAAGGCACCATCATCGACTATATCCATTTTGTGTATTGGCAAACCAGGGCTTACAGAAAATAAGAAATTATCCTGCCAGGCTGCCCAGCAAGCCAGGGACAGTGATTAGAGGACCACAGGGGTAGGTAGGGATGAAGGAAGGGGAATGGCCCCAACAAGGTGTAGGGAGGGAGGATGGGATAAGATTTTGTTTATGGAGCTGTCTTTTAAAACAGTCTTCAAATCACCAAATATGGTGGCTATGAGGTAAATGTATGTACTGTGTGCATTTGGGGCTGTGTATACACATATGTACATGTGTATATGTGTGGGCTGTTTGCTCATGTATGCAGGTTGTGTACATGTATGTGTTGTGTGGTTTATATGTATACATACATGTTTTTCTGTATGTAGTGTGCCTGGGTTGTGTAGTTGTATGCCCATGTATGTATAATGTAAGGAATATGTAATATGTACATATGTGGTACCTGCGTGCATGTGCAATTGATAAGAGACATGGAAGTTAGTGTTGATCAGTCATCTGGTATCCACGAAGGAAAAAAAAACAAGCTGGCAGGACTGGCAATGCCTTAGGCCCTGCCACCAGAGGGTCTCTGGCACACAGGCCCACTACCTCCAAGACCTTGCACAGAAGGCCAGGCCCAGACCTGGAGGAGGATCCTGAGGCTGGTAGGGAGAGAAGAGGAGTGTGAGGAGAGGAGTGCTCTAGGGTCAATGAGCGCCCCCACGTACACCCCATCCTTGTGGATTACAGGCAAAGCCCGAGCATCCTTATCCTTATCCTCATCCTCCCGTTTCCCCTCTTCTTCCCCACTGGGCGTCCCGCAAGCCCCGCCCCCACCTCCGTTCCTAGCCACTCTCTGGTGGGGGTGGGGGATGCTGCAGGAGACGCTCCTCCTTCCTCCCCACCGTTATCCACCCCCCACCTCCACTCCCCACCCACCGCCCTGGGAGGCCAGAGACGTGTCTCACCCCAAGCATGGGTCACTGCGGTGTCCCCCTCCCCCCGCTACAGAGCCCCAGCCCCTGGAGTTCCCCCACCGAAAACAAAACAAAATGACCACCCCGCCCAGAGCCCGCACTCACAGCCCAGAGGTGCCCAGGCCCACCCGGCTCGGGCTCCGGCTCCGCTCCGGCTCCAGCGGCAGGAAAGCGTCACTGAGTCACCGGCCTGGCAAGGAGCGCGGAAAAGGGAGGGGCGGGGCCCTGGCTGCAGCGGAGGCTGCACACACACAGTCACACACACACACACACACACACACACACACACACACACACAGAGAAACACAGAGGCACGCACAGAGAGACACACATAGACACTCAGAGGCACAAGTTTGGGCACACAGGCACACACCAATTCAGGCACACTAAGACACATGCACACACATATACACAGTCCCACAGTATGAGTACACACATATGCGCGCGCGCGCGCACACACACACACACACACACACACACACACACCATACACTTGCTGGGAGAGGTAGGGGACATGGTGGGGGAGGCGAGATGCCCTCCCAGAAAGGAAAGGTTCTTGGAAGAAGGCTATAGACAGCAAAAAACCCTCTTTTTTGCAGCGCAGGAAGCGGTACACACACAGACACACGCGCGCACACACACACACACACATACACACACACACACACACACACAATTTGTGTGCTCCTATGTGTAGGCCCATGAATAAATTCTTCTCTGTGCTTTAAGTGCATGGTACTGAAAGCTTCTGTGCTGACTGGATGACCTCTAAGCACCCTTCTGCTTGTAGAAGTGTTATGACCTTTGCAGAGGAAACGACAGAATGACGTATGCTCACAATTCAGGCATATATGCTTCACATGTAAGTCTATGTATTCATTTGCAGATATGTCCAGGTACAAGCTTGCATGTGCAGGCATGTATGTACATGCACTCAATGTAAGTATGTACATGTACTTGTGTGGGTTCCCACCCTCTCTAATTCATTCTCTGTCCCATTTACCACAGAAGTTGTTGCAAACCTCTTCCCTCCTCATGTCCCATAACACCCCCTCCTCCCATCTTCTCAGCAAAGCTCCTTACCTCATACCTTACCGAAAAAATCGGGGCCATTGTTTAGAGCTCTCTTTTCTCTCTCTTTTCATCCCTTATTTCCCTATTCTCACCCCTACCATCTCCTTTACTCCATTCACTGAAGTGGCTGTCCTCATTGCCAAGGCTAACCCCTCTATATGTACCCTTAATTCCATCCCATCTCTCCCATTTTCTCCTGCACGTTGTCTCTACTATCATCCCTTTCTCTTTAATTGTTGATCTCTTCTCATCTCCTGGTTCCTTTCTTGTTTCCTACAAACATCCAAAGCCTCCCCCATCCTTAAGCAACAACAACCCTTAGTAGATCCAGCCATCCCTGCTAGCTATTGTCCTGTATCTTTAATCCCATACTACCTAAACTCTTTGAAAATAACATGTACATATGGTACCTCCAGTTCTCCTCTCATTCTTTTTATGTCAACTTTTCTTTTACTTCTTCTCAATTAGCAAACATTTTTCTCTCCCTTTTTGTCCCCCCCCCCGTTAAAAAAAAAAAAAGAAAAGAAAACCCTTGTAACAAATACAGAGTGAAGCAAAACAAATTCCTGCATTGGCTATGTCCAAAACCACATTTCTCATTCTGCATCTTGAGTCCATCACCTCCCAAGGTGGGTAGCATGATTCATCATAGGTCCTCTGGAATTGTAAGTGATCACTGAGTTTAACAGAGTTCTTAAGTCTTTCAAAGTTAATTGTTTTTTTTTTAACAATAAAGTTAATTGTCTTTACAATTTTTTAATTGTAGAAATTGTTCTCCTATTTCTGTGTCAGTTCATACAAATCTTTCCAGGTTTCTCTGAAACCTTTTGTTATTTCTTTAAAAAATAATATTTCATTACATCCAGACACCATAATTTGTTTTTCTATTACCTAAATGATGAGCACAAACTTAGTTTCCAATGCTTTGCCACTACAAAAACAGCTTCTGTAAATAAATACTTCTATACATATGAGTCCTTGTCCTCTTTCAGAAGCCTAACAGCAATGTAGTTGGGTCAAAGGCTATGCACAATTTGATGATGTTTTGGACATAATTCCATATTACTTTCCAGAACAACTCACTTTTTTCCTCTAAAGCCTCTGCAAACCTCATCATTCAATTGAAACCTATTTCTACAAAGTAACATCTTCTTCTCTTCTTCCTCTTCCTCCTTCTCCTCCTTTTTTTGGTGAGTCAATTTGAGTTAAATGACTTGCCCAGTGAATGCAAGTCCTCCTGACTTCAGGGCCCAGATACACTGAGCCACTTACCTGCCCCATAACCACTTCTTAATGACCAAATCTAATATCTTCTCATTATTCCTTCTTCTTAACCTATCTACATTTTACACTGGTAACCATCTTGTTCTCTTGGTTACTTTGTCTTCTCTGGGTTTTCACGATCTTCCTCTCCCCTGGTTTTCTTCCTACCAGTCTGATCTGTCCTCAGTCTTCTTGACTGGCATGTCATCTATATCACAGCCCCTTGACTATGGGTGAACCTCAAGGTTCTGTTTTAGGTCCTCTTCTTTATATTCTTTTGTTTGGTGATGTTATCAGTGCCCATAGGTTCAATGATCATGTCTATGTTCATAATTCCCAGATCAATATATCCAGCCCAAGTCTCTTTCTTGAATTTCACTCTTGTATCATCAACTGCCCATTGAACATTTAGAAATGGATGTTCTTGAGGTATCTCAGACTCAGCATGTGCAAAACTGAATTCGTATTTCCTCCCAAACTCTCTCCTCTACCAAATTTTTGGTAGAATTGTGAACTGATCCAACCATTTTGGAGAGAAATCTGGAATTATGCCCAAAGAGATAAAACTGTATATCCTTTGACCCATCAATAGCACTGTTAGGTCTGTTTCCAAAGATGATTAAGGGAAAAGGAAAAAGAATCTGTATGTTCTAAAATATTTGTAGCAGCTCTCTTTGTGGTGGCAAAGAACTGGAAATTGTGGGGATGCCCATCAATTGGGGAATGGCTGAACGAGTTGTGGTATATGATTGTGATGGAGTACTACTTTTCTATAAGAAATGATGAGTTTAATGATCTTAGAAAAACATGGATAGACTTGCGCAAAATAATGAAGAGCTAAATGAGCAGAACCAAGAGAATGTTGTATATAGTTACAGCAATATTGTTTTAAGAACAAGTTCGACTGAATAAGTCATTTTGACTATTATAAATACCCAAATTAACTACAAGGAACATATAAAGGAAAACCCTGTCTGCATCCGGAGAAAGAACTGATAAGTAGAAGTACATGTAGAATGTTTTTACAAATGTATACATATTTATGTCTAATGGTAGCCATATCTTGGGGGGGGGGAAGAGAAAAAAGAAATTTACATGATAACTTTATTACATATTTTAAAGGAACAGCAAGTTGTATATAATAGAGTCACAGTTTCATGTGCAATCATCTCTTTGTTGTTATACTTTGTTATGCAAATGCTTGTTTTATTCCATAAATTAAAAATAAAATAAATAAATAAAATTTTAAATGCCAAATCTTGCTGTTTCTCTTTTCCCATTGACTCCTCACTCCTAACAGAGCCTATCCTTATCACAAAGGCAGGGGGGGCAGCCGGATCATTATGGCACTGAGAGTTCTGGCATCTTATAATTTAATTTTCCTTTATATTATTGTGGTTATTGCATAAATGGTTCTGCTTCTATGTGCTCCTGCTTCAGTTTGTACAGATCTTTCTAAGTGTTTCTGAATTCTTCATATTCTTAATTTCTTATGGCATAACATTCCATTGTATTCATATGGCTCAATTTGTTCAGCTGTTTTTTAATTGAAGGACATACATTTTATTTTTAGTTCTTTGCTGCCACACACAAAAAAGTGCTACAAATATTTTGGTACATATAAACCCTTCCTTTCTATTTTTGACCTCCTTAGAATATAGACCTAGTAACAGTATTACCAGTTCATAGAGCACGTACACTTTTTTTTAAAAAAGCGTTTTCTGGTTCAATTCCTAATTGTTTTTCAGCACAGTGGGACCAGTTCACAGCTCCACAGGTAATTTAGTGTGCTTGTCTTCCTACGATACCTCCAACACATACTATTTTCATCTTTTGTATTTCTGTGCTAGTCTGATGAATATAAGATGGAAACCTCAGATTTATTTTAACTTGCATTTCCCTTATTGGTGATTTGGAACATTTTTCATATAGTTGTTGATAATTTGCATTTTGTTGGTTTTTTTTAAATAACAAACATTTATTTGTTTGTTTGTTTATCGAGGCAATTTGGCTTAGGTGACTTGTCCAGGGTCACACAGCTAGTAAGTGTCAAATGTCTGAAGCTGGATTTGAACTCAGGTCATCCTGACTCCAGGGTTGGTGCTCTATCTTCTGTGCCACCTAGCTGCCCCTATGACAAGTATTTATTAAGTGCCTACTATGTGTCAGGTACTTTGCTAAGCACTTTGCAAATAACTCATTTGATCTTCACAATGACTCTGCCAGGTAGGGGCTATTCTTATCCTCATTTAACAGATGAGGGAACTGATACAGACAGAGATTAAATGACTTGCATAGGTCACACAGACAGTAAGTGTCTGAGGCCAGATTTGAACTAAGGTCTTCCAGATTCTTTGTCTCTATATGCAGCTTTATAAATGCCTCTTTTGACAGCTGCCTACTCACTCAAAGTGAGAACCTGAAAAAGCCTTAGCTTGAAAGGGCTATGGTCTCCCATTGCATCCTGGGCCATCTCCAGTCCTCCTGATGAATATCTGGCCATTGAATCCAGATGGCTCTGGAGGAGAAAGTGACCTTGCCCAGCCTTCCCTCACTCAAATCAAAGTCAATTGCAAGTCATGTCATCATCTCCCTGATGTCATGGTCCTCTTCGAGAACGAAGGACAAACACAATTTATATACTTTGCCCACTTAATTATTGAGAGAATGGCTCTTATTCTTATATATTTATATCAATTCTTTTTATGTCTTGGATACAGACCTTTTTAAAATCATAGATATTATTTGATTTAAATATCTTACCCTATCATCAGTTTTTCTTCTTATTCTAGTTGCATTGATTTTGTTCAGTCTTTTTTTTTTATTATCTA